CCCTCACTCCCATGTAGGGAAGGTCTTGTGGCTTCTCACCAGCCCACCATGAGGTTCCTCACGCAAGGACATGGCACCCAAGGGGTTTTCTAGAGCTGAGATTCTTCCAATGCTGGAGCCTTTCTGCTGGAAAGCCTCTCCTCATCCTTGACTGTTCCTGGCACCTCCTTCATTTAGGTCACAAAACCAAAAAAGACCTCTACTTCAGTGTCTTCTTCTGCTCCTCCAGGCGTTTTGGCCACAAAACACAGTTGGCGTTGGCCAACGCTCAGCCTTGCTGGGGCCGTTGGCATCGCCTCGGTCCCTCAGTCACAGCAGGTGCTTCACCAACAGGTTTCTTACCCCTGCTGGGAGTCCATGGTGAAGTCCCGCGACAAAGCAGGTGCTGCCTCCCTCACCATCACCAACCTCCCGCCCAACACGCCCAAGTTCTCCAGGTTTTCAAGCACCTCTGTGGTCTCACCTTACCCTACATCTGCAGTCCTGGGTCTGACCATCTCCTGCAGCTACTCAAATCACGTCCTCTCTCCTGCACCACCAGCGGCACGGCCCGGGGGGCTCATTCCCTGGGCCTGCCTACCTCCAGACCACCTCGTCCTTGTAGCTCACCTTAAAAACCTTCCTCTGCCTCTTCAGACCAACTGCCTACGAAGCTGCTTTGGACGCCTTCTTTGTAGATCGCTACACAACAAATTGTATCACACAATTACGGTTACGAAACGGCCACGCAAGCAATGGACAGCAAAGAGTCGTCTCCTGGCCTGCTCTGAAGCCTGCTGAAGAAGCAGCCCAGCAGCTTTTGGCTCAGGACCTCGGAAACAGATGAAGAAGGGGATAGCGGACCCGTTGGCGCATAGGTCCGGGAGCCGGGGACAAGCAAGCCTCAAGTTCTAGCTCAGACAACGAAATCCTCGGCAGTTTTGGGCAAGTGGCACAAAGCACATCCCCTGGTTCCACCTCGAAGGTGGGGCAAAGGCATCTTCCTCCAGAGGAGGAGGAGGAGGAGGGCCGACTCCCTCAGGAAAGAAGAGGGCAGGGAAGGGAAGCTACTCCAGCCCCGAGCAAGCCGATCTGCCAGCTGGAAGCGCGTAGGCACCGTAGCAATGAGAAGCAGAAAAAAAAGGAGAGCAACTCGGAGGAAAGGAGAGATGGAGGCGCCGGCAGCCCACGTCCTCGCTGCCCCCCCGCCGCGCGAGGCCCGCACTCACCGGAGGGGCACTGTAACTGGCGTGAGGGTTGTTCTGGATTTCCCACAACCCCTCGTTGAAGCCTTTTCTCTTGTTTGGTTTCCCATATTTGTCTTTATATTTTTCGTAAAGGAAGAGATCTTTAGGGCCCAAGAAGGCGCTGGAGAGAAACAAAGCAGAGGTGAGCCCGGAGCAGAGGCGGCGGGGCAAAGCCCGGCGAGGGGGGCGAGGCAGCGCTTACGTCTCGTGGGTGCCGAAGAAGAAGATGGGGTACTTGTTCGGTGGGGGTTTCACGGCGCCGTCCGCGATGTCATCGATCTGAAAGGAAACCCAAAGCAGGAGGTGGTCAGAGAGAGCAGCTTGGGCATGTTCTCTGCCAGGCACGTCAGCCCCGGCTAGCAGCGTCGGCCTCCGGCACCCGCGCCCCGCTTGGAGGCAAGCACGGCAAGAAAGCACCTGGAAGGGGACTTTGCTACACACGAGGGTCCCGCTGCGGCGTCGGGGCCCAGCGGGATCTCTAGAAGAGTAACAGAAGGGATCCGGCACGGCGGCTCCACGGCTGGAGCTCGGCGCGAGGTCGTCTCTCCACCACCGGGCTCAGCGCCCAGGGGAACGCGGGGCCTCGTGCTACTCCCCAGAGATCCATCGCGCCAGCCGCCTCGGGGTGGGACGCCCGAGGGAAGCCCCCTCCAGCCCGAAGCAGGGGGTGATGGCTCCGACTGAGAGTCCTTCCTGGCTGGAGACCGGCCGCAGAAAAAGCCCCGTTGCGAGCGGGGCG